AATATCATTTTAAAATCAAACTCAAATCAATCTTATCGAAAACGCAACCAAAAAATCAATTTTTTACAGGGATTTTTAGCCGATTCAAAGTAAACGGAAATGAGGAGTAAACTTTTGGAATTAAAATTTAAGGAGGCCAAACGCTCGGATGTTGAAATGACCAGTAAATTGATTCTCAAGTTTTCAGTTACTGTTTTCTCAGATTGTGACTGACTGTGATTCAGTTACTGCGACTGACATTTTACTGATTTTAAGTAAAAATCGTTATTGTGGCTTCCGCGAATACATAATTTTACAAGCAATTCAATTCACTAATACACGGTGTTTTGGCTGGAAAGCTTTGAAATTGCCACAAAAGTATTGAGTGAATGGTTTCGTTGGCTTCAGGTAATTCCAACAGATAAAAACTTCAAACAATTTTGCTACAATTCTCGCGATGAATTGTGCTGTACATTGAAAATCGTATAGTAAAACGATGATTCCTTATGCCTATATAATTCATGCCGCATATCAGCGCATTAATTCAAGCCTTCAGCCCAGAAACTTTATAAACAGGTATTGAATTACTAAGTTGGAATCAAAAAAATAACTTTTCAGGGCAACTGCAATCAATCAATCAGAAGTTCGCAAGAAAAATTTTTTGACATGGAACAGTCTGAGCGGTGAAAACAACAACATGAGTGTGGTAGGGAGAAAAAGAGTTGGCGTAGTGACGTGTGAAGTTGATAGATAGAAGCTTCAGTTGATCAATTGATTAAAGTAGGAATAGATGCCTTATTGTTAACATTGATTTGTGCGGCACATACCTAGTCATTTTATTGTTCACAATAGTTGTCGCAGATCAAACAATAAACTAAGCTGCGCATTGATTCTCAGAGTTGACTGTTTCGCTTGCAACATTGTATTGCAGCTCTTCGTAAACCTGAGATTGTATGCAAACTTAGAAGTGTGCAAACCTGGGAATGAGCTCGAGTCTCAACACCAGTACGAGTAGATGAGGCTGAAGCATATCCAGTTACAAATATTAGCCGTGGTAGGTTTGTAATTGACCACGGCACGTGTTGCTTTCGATGCCCATACTGCACAGTTTGAGTGGATTGGCAAAACAACATTTTTATGTTATCAACCACTGAAGCTGTGACTAGGGTTTGCACGGGATCCCGGGATCTCGAGATTTCAAATCTGATCCCGATCCCGGGATTTAAGTTTTGAAAAA